GCGTAAGCCTTCTCCTCCTTCTCTCTTACTCACCCCTCGTTCTCCTCTGCTCGCCGGCTACCACAGCATCACCTTGTGGAATGACCGAAAGTGTGCTAAGTGCGTGTTTATATAGCCGTTCTGGGTTATCACAATCATGCTTGTGCAAAACATTGATAGCGCAAATCCTGCGAGCTACCCAGATTTGTTGGCGGCTTGTTTATTCCGTTAGCTGCCTTATCACTCACTTCATTTTGCGGACGGACACACATACATACATACATACATACATACACACACATACAGACATACAAACCGACACACAAAGTTAGCGCTTTATAAATAGAATAACCTTACATAGCGGTATCGCAAAGTTTCGCAGAGATCAGTCACATTACGTTCCCTGAGAACTGAGTTCACATGCTGCAAGAGGTATCTTCCTGCTTCCGTAGCCTGTGGCACTGACCTGAAAACGAATTACAGGAAAAGCTTGAGCAAAGAAGTCTATACTACACCAGTGATAAATTGGGGTCTTGAATAAAGTAAGTAAGTATAAGGAGGCCAAAAGGTTTGCGATGATGCTCTTGTGTCGTTTCGTCTTTTTTGTATGCCTCATTTAGGATTCTGTTTGAATTGCTCTAGAATTTTCAGCCTACGCAAGGATTCAGTGAGGAGATTTATGCTTGTCCATCACTAAAACTACACGTCCAAACAAAACGGTTGACAGTTCGTACCCAAGGCTTGAAGTGCTGTAATTGTGGAATGAATGACGAATATGACGGCAGATTTATGCAATCAATAAAGTGGAAATGGAGCTTTGGGGTGCAGGTTCTTGTTATCTTATCCTAGTGCTAGAAACTTATCACTTCTACGGGTTTATCTAACAAAAGAAAGGCGAGCGGCTTATTCAAGGGGTTTATTGATAAAGACCGGTGAGTTCAACATTCCATTATTCTTCATCCTATCCAATTTTCCGTGCCTGGTCATCCATCCTGGATCTCCTCCACCCTCAGACGTAGCAATGATTTTCATTCTCTGGACCACGGCGTATTTCTGGACCATGTTCAGGCGGAAAGTTGAAGTGCATCTCAGATCCTTCGCTTCCCAAATACTATCAAAAAGTATGTTTTGATTGGGGTGATGACGCATCGCGGCGCTGTCATTCTCACGCTAGCCTTGGAGAGCAAATGGATGATCCCCTCATAGTCGAAGCGGTCTTTCAATGTTGAGCTCCCCAATTAATTTGCAAAACAACTGCGTTCGGGGGGAATCGAACCCCCGTCGAATGCTTGGAAGGCATCATGCTAACCATTACACCACGAACGCGCTGAATGCAGCGCTGGCGTTCGGTATGATGGAAGATTCGTTCGTGAGATATCACGTCTATGATGAATGCGCCGCATTGACCTTATGCGTTGGGAAATAGAGGACGAAGATCGTAATCCCAAACGGTCCCTGAAGCATTTGTTGCACCTGCAGAACTTACCCAAATGGGAGGAAATGCAGTACTTGGCCTGGCAGGGATTTGATCTTCGAAAGTGTTCAAGTTAGCTGCGATACCACTAGCCGCTGCCGCACCTTCAGGTCATGAGAAGCGATTTTTGTTATGGACGGTAGTAGACAGAATAGTTGGCAAATGTTGTATACTAGCCGTGTTGGTGGGCAGGGGTTACTTCAGAGAAGGAACATTCAGAGGTACTTTAATTCGCGCTTTTCAGGAGGGAAGAAGCCGTGTTCAGCGAATGGGAAGAAAAACTTTTGAGGGTTCAGTGAAATTTTTCAAGAAAATCTAGAGAACAAGGAAATTTTGAGGCATGTCCTCCCGCCCAGCCTTTCCTCTTCGATGGACCTTCGGGTGCAAGGTAAATTCTAGGTTGGACCGGGAATTGACCAAAAGGGAAGTTCGTTTCAGAACAGGAGGTCGTGCTCGGCCGCAATTCATCGAGGTGGTGGGAAATGATGTGGCGAGATAAATCACTCACAAAAAAACCTCTTATAAAAAGATGTAGATGGAATTAAGTATAAAGTGTATTAGTTTGTAGAAGACTGTCAAGACTGTGATAAGGTAATAAAAACGAGCTCAAGCAGTCAAGTTTGGGGGCAAGAAACCGTTGTAATTAAGTATGAGCGTGGAACATCGAAGCTATGGTTCAAAATATGGAAATAATGGGTAATCGAATAAACGCCTCAAAGGGTCACCTGTCCAGCTGTTTCATAGGATATTGACATGTGCAGTACGAGATGGGAATCGGCAGATTTTTGCATGTCCTCTCCTCATCAGTTTGTGATCGCAAAAATGATGCACCGTATTCTCCAGGGATTTTCATGTATTGCCGATCAGTGAAGTTTGCAGCAGGTTGGTACTGAAATAAATATTGAAATTGAGAGACTGAAACTTGGATGAAAAAGTTAAGAAACATGAAGCGAAGCAGTGATTGAAGGAGGAATGCTCAGCACAGAGCAACTCTTCTCCGAATTGCGTCACCCAACCGACTTTGCCGACATGGCTTGTTTATTCAAGATCGAATGTATTCAAAGGAACTTCACGTCTGGACGATCCAACAGTG